ACAGTACTGTTGCATGGTCCCATCTAGACCCCTATTTCACAGGGAGAAAACTGAGAGTATCTTGGCTGCCTGAGGTTGCACAGGACCAGTTAGAGCCAGCCCTCCCCCTACTCCATCTTTCCTCTTAGCATGAGACACTGTGAGTCTGAACATAGGGGGTGATTTGATCCACAGCTCTTGAGGCAGGAGCTCAAAGACATGAATCTGTCTGCCTTTAAAGACAGGAATTGCTCATCTGATCCAGATAGAAAACAGTGGATTTAGGGTGACAGACTTCAGAGCCCACTTCTGTCCCACCACCTCCCACCCCCAAATGTTCTTCCTTCAGGATTGCCTGTCGTCTGAAGATCGCTCTTTGTAACAGCCCCAAACTGGAAACAACCTTGGTGCCCATCAGTGATAGCATGAGTGAATAAACAGTGGTGTGTCCACACAGTGGAACATAATACAGCAATGAGAGTGGACATGTTACAATCTGGAGGAATCTCCCAAACGTAATGACTGGAGAAAGAAACCAGATCCAGCGGTTCACACATCCCTAGTAGTTCATGTCATCCCATTCATAGAAAGGACCAAAGCAGGTGACGCTAATCCAGACTGTTGGAGGTCAGGTAGCAGTTACCCTTGTGAGGGCTGAGACTGGAAGGGAGCATGAAGGGAGCTTCTGGACACTCCGTTTCTAGATCTCGGCACAGGTTACACAGGTGCATTTAGCACTCTCACTGTGAAGTGCAGTGAGCTATATACCTAGGCTATGTTTGCTTCTCTATTTATTAGACTTTAATAAATTATTTTTAAAAACTGAAAAATAGACAACGAGGCACAACCTCAAAAAATCTCCCTGCCAGCAAAGATAATGTTGCTAACAGAAACACTCTCCATTTGTGGAAGGTGGGCTCTGTGCCAGATGCTGTGCTGGGGGTGTTCCAAGGGGAGGGAGAACCCCCAAAAAACCAGAATTATCTTTTGAAAGGTGGGGCCCCTTGTAGGACAGGCTTTCCCTGCTAGGTGGGTGTTCTAGGAACCCATTAGCATCAGTGAACCAGCTAGTATTGTTGGAGAGGCTGCATTTGGCTTCAGTGAATTTCTTTTGAAGATTCTTTCAAGTGTTGACCCATTTAATGATGGGTGATTTACAAGTGCACCTGCCCACTCCACACTGAGTGTTCAGCAGTTTTTGACCCCAAACGGCATAACCTCGGTGTCCCACTCTTTCTATTCACCCAATCTTGCCCCCGAGCAACTTTTTTTGTTTCCCTGGATGAAAAAAGTCTTCAAAGGAAAACATTTTGCCGATGTGGAAGAGATGAAGCAAAAAATGACAGAAACACTAAAAGGCATCAAGATTGAGTTCAAAAACTATTTTGAGCAGTGAAGAAAGTGTCTCAATAGATGTATTGCATCAAACAGAGAGTACTTTGAAGGTGACTGAAGTTTAAACATGTGAGAATAAATGTACAATTTTTAATAAATAAATTCCAGTTTTTTGGGTTCCCCTCGTATATGTATTAAACCCTCTGGAGAGGTGTTGATCTGCTATTTTGCAGATAATAAAACTAAGGTTTCAGAGAGGTAAAGCATCTTGCCCAAGGTCATACAGTGAGTGAACGTGTGCTGCACAGAGGGCTCATTCTATCCCAGAAGTGCCTACTGTGTTTTGTAGGCAGTTTTCTTTCTTTTCTTAAATTTATGTATTTATTTATTTGTTTGTTCATTTATTTACTTACTTATTTTTTGAGTTGGAGTCTCACTCTGTTGCCCAGGCTGAAGTGCAGTGGCACGCTCACAGCCACCGCGGCCTCGACCTGCTGGGCTCAGTTGATCCTTTTGCCTCAGTCTTCCAAGTAGCTGGAACTACAGGCATGCACCCCACACCTGGCTAATTTTTTGGTTTATTGTAGAGATGAGGTCTCACCAAGTTTTCCAGGCTGGTCTCGAACCCGTGGGCTCAGGCAGTCCTCTCACTTTGGCCTTCTAAAGTGCTAAAATGACAGGCATGAGCCACCATGCCCGACCAATAGTATGATTATTGATGCTACCCAACAATATTATATTATTACTATTCCTTAACAAAGGAAGCCAATATTTTTCAGTTCATCTTTGAGGAGTGATATGTGTAAACCTGAGCATTTATCAGAAAAGAGGCCAGTCGGCAAAAGCCTTTTAGATCAAGTACTGCATCAGTATATTGTTGTTACAAGCATCCAATTATCTATACTCTCATAAGCACCACAAATAAAATATAAACAGCACCTAGAAGATTCGAATGAGGCATTCAGGCTTTGAGAATCTGATTCCAGTATACTAGTGTAGTGGGAATCTTCCACAGAGAGACGGGACACCGAGGCTTCTTTGCCAGGAAGCAGCATTTATCTTTGCTTGCACCGGCTCAGCGGATTTGCATCCAAAGGCCAAGCCAGCAGTTTTCTTTCATATTCCCCCACATGGGAAGGAATGGTTTCTGCTCTGCCTGATCTTGAGATAATGTTCCAGACTCAGGATCTGCGGTGAAACTGCAGCAGCCTGTCTGTCTCATGGATGACCATTTACCCTCTCTCCTGCTTCAGCTGAGGGAATATGAGAGAGAGAGATGGCCACGTTTTTTTTTCCTTATCATTGGGGAAGAGACAGGAAATAATCCATTTAATCAATGAGTAGTCTGTAGAGAAGGCCACAGTCAGCCAGGCACACCATGGTGTGGGGTTGGCTGGGTTCAAATCTTGACTCTGCACTTGAGCTACATAGCCCAGAGCAAATCACTTATCCTCTCTGGACCTCCCTGTTCCCCTCTGTAAAATGGATGTTGAAAGCCAAACGTGGTGGCTCATGCCTATAATCCCAGCACTTTGGGAGGCTGAGGTGAGAGGATTGCCTGAGCCCATGGGTTTGAGACCAGCCTGGGCAACTTGGTGAGACCTCATTTCTACAATAAATCAAAAAATTAGCTGAGAGTGGTGGCGTGTACCTGTAGTTCCAACTACTTGGAAGTCTGAGGCAGAAAGGATCACCTGAGCCCAGCAGATCGAGGCTGCAGTGGCCGTGAGCAGTATGCCACTGCACTCCAGCCTGGGAGACAGAGTGAAACTCCAACTCCAAAAAAAAAAAAAGAATGTTGGCCGGGCACCGTGGGTCACGCCTTTAATCCCAGCACTTTGGGAGGCTGAGGTGTGAGGATTGCCTGAGCCCACGGATTCGTGACTATCCTATGCAACTTGGTGAGCCCTCATCTCTACAATAAATCAAAAAATTAACTGGGCACGGTGGCGTGTGCCTGTAGTTCCAGCTACTTGGAAGGCTGAAGCGGAAGGATCGCCAGAGCCCAGAAGGTCAAGGCTGCAGTGGCCATCAACGTGCCACTGCACTCCAGCCTGGGTAACAGAGTGAGACTCCAACTCAAAAAAAAAAAAAAAAAAAGTAGGTGCTGAAGACCTAATGGAGTGGTTGTATGAATTAGACTGCAAGAAAAGCACAGAACCTGACACAGAGGATATTTGATAAATGTTAGCACGAGATGGGAGTCAGGCCCTAAAATGTCTAAAGAAGCAGTGCTGGGTAGTGTCAAGTCAGTATTGTGCCCAGTCACTGCTAGGGCTCGAGCAGGAGGCTGGACCACTGGACTTTGGTGATCAGCGAGGCTTCTTGGCAGAGGATTGAGCTAGGTTAAGGCAGGCCTTTCCCAAGGGAGGATGGAAATCCCAAAGAGATGGCACAGCTTAGACAAAGACTTGTGGCTGGGCCAAGACTGCCAGGAGCCAAGGGAAATGATGGCTTCCCAGAGCCGGGATTTTTATGCTTCAGCTGTAAGGAACTTGAATTGGGCAATGGGGTGTTAGGGAGGGTTATCTAGCAGCACTGGACATAGTAGAGGCTTTGAATTCTACAAAACCAAACTCCACTGTGACCAGTGGGGCTAAAACAGAGCCAAAAGGGACAGTCTGTGGCGAGCTGATATGTGCTTCACAGTTGGTTCTCTGGCAGGAGGGTAGGGGAGCCCTGATTTGTTTGCCAATTTCTGGAGTGTAAATATTCCTACTGTGGCCCCTTTCAGAATACCATTACGGTGTCACTAGATGCAGAGTTGGGAAGAAATGCACAGTTGGCATGAGCTAATATGAGCTAACTCCATCCACCACTGAGTTTCAGTAAAAGTTGGCAAAACGGCTTCTGCACTAGACAGGGGTCCAGTCTCTTTCTTTCTCTCTCTCTCTTCTTCCCCCTTCCCCCCAGAAAAAGAAAAAAAAAGTTGGCAAAACTTGCCTAATTGAGAAAGTGGCTCCAATTGCATATGGCTCCCATGGAAAACCACAGCACAGCTTCTTGAGTGAGTTTCTTCCATACGCTAGGCACTGTACATGAGCCTTTGTGCGGCTCACAGTCTGTTGGGGAAACTGACGTTAATTAAATAATTCCACTAAGTTATACACTGAACTGGCCATTTGGAACGAAATACTGTCTTGCTGGGTATGGTGGTGTGCATCTGTAATCCTAGCTACTCAAGAGGCTGAGATGGGTGCATCACTTGAACCCAGGAGTTCGAGACCAGCCTGGGCACCATAGCAAGACCTTGTTTCAAAAAGGAAAAAAAAATCAATAAACTTACCATGAAACCATTAAAAAAAAAAAAGTGCTGTCTTACATAGAGCACATGCCCATGTTCTTTTTTTCAAAACCAAAATAAAAGGTCAACTGTTGTCTGTTCTGAATCAAGAACATCATGTGTCCTCGAAGGTTTTCACTACACTTTTGTGCACTTCATGATATTTAAATCAGAGTTGTCATTACAGCCCTTTCAAGACAATTGGATTTCAAGTGACTTTTCAGGTGCGAGTGAAAAATTCATCCATCTACAACCAGAAGAGGGCTCAGCAGAGTCCATATTTTAGTAACAACAATCTGAACACATCTCTTTAGTTCTTTCCAAATGATGAGTCCAGACTGGGCTCTGCCATGCAATGGCGCCTCCATCTGGAAAATGTTCTCACTTTTACATTGCTTCCTAGGTGGTCTTCGAGGCCTTGCACAACCTGGAGCCCCGTGGCTATGTGGTAGGGTGGATCATCGCCATAAGCTTGCTGGTGGGAATCCTCATCTTTCTGCTGCTGGCTGTGCTGCTCTGGAAGGTAAGTCTGACGAGCACAGGTCCTCATGGAGTCCCCACCCATGGACGCCCAACTCTCTTGCTTCTCTGGGGTGAGAGCACCTGGGAGGAAGTGTCCTGGTAAGGCTCCCTTCATGGTAGAGGTACAGCAGAGGGCAATGTCCCCTTCAGGCAGGAAATGGAATCTGGGCTTCTCTAAGGCCATTCCCAACTGAGGAATTAGACCCCTTCTGAGAAAGCAAAGTCTCCTCTTCTCTTACCTTTCCAAAGGAGTTACAGCAGTCCTAGTATAGGGTGGTGGGAACCCAACTCTGAAACAGACGCCTGGAGAGGAACAGCTAGGAGGGGGTGGTTACCATTTACTTGAAGAACAAATTAAAAAAGGAAAGAGCAATTTTGTATTCTTTTTCCCTGAGGAAGATGAGAAAGATTTCTGCCGGGAATACCCAGTTAGCTGGGATGGGCTACAGGTCTGGAATACGGCCTGGGTAGCTTCATCGGAACTTCTCCTGGCCCCATGGTGGTGTATTTGTGGGTGGCCCAGGGCAGAGATCCACCTGCCTCCTTTACCAGGGTATACCTACCAAAAGTCTTACCTCAGATGTCAGTCTTTTTTTTTTGAGTCAGAGTCTCACTCTGTCACCCAGGCTGGAATGCAATAGCATGCTCATGGCCACTGCAGCCTTGACCTACTGGGCACAGGTGATCCTTCTGCCTCAGCGTTCCAAGTAGCTAAAACTACAGGCATGCACCACCAAGATGTCACTCTCTTAAGAAGGAAGGGGTGGCCAGGCACGGTGGCTCAGAATCCAGCCTGTAATCCCAGAACTTTTGGAGGCTGAGGTGAGAGGTTGGCCTGAGCTCAGGGGTTCAAGACCAGCCTGGGCAACTTGGCGAGACCTTATCTCTACAACAAATCAAAAAATTAGCCAGGCATGGTGGCGTGTGCCTGTAGTTCCAGCTACTTGGAAGGCTGAGGCGGAAGGATCACCTGAGCCCAGCAGGTTGAGGCAGTGGCAATGAGCATGCCACTATACTCCAGCCTGGGCCACAGAATGAGACTTCAACTCAAAAAAAAAAAAGAAGGAAGGGATGTTTTTACCCCCCGAGTCCAGGATGATTTCTTTGCGACCCACTCTTCTCTCAAAGGTCGGAGTCTTTTTACTTCATGGCCTCTTGTTCATCAGTAATGGTTCAGAGTCATTATGTGATGGTCTGTCCCTCCGTTGTTTCCACTTTGTCCCCAGTTACAACATAGCACCCAGGACCATAGCTGGGACTTCCCAACATCAAAGTCCATACTTCTCTGGTATTCCAGGTTTCAGATGCAGGTGGGAACAGTGTCTTAGATTATTATGGAAGGATATTTTAAATTCAAATAATTAATTTCTTTGGGAAAATAATATGTATTTATTGAACGAACATGATGCATACAATTTGGAAAAAAAGTTGCAAAACACCCAGGAGTTCACATCCCAGAACCATAATGAGCATAATGTTGTCTCTTTCTTTTTCTTCTTCTTCTTTTTTTTTTTTTTTTTTTTTTTGAATTGGGGTCTCACTCTTGTCGCTCAGGCTGGAGTGTGTGTATGATCATGGTTCACCGCAGCCTTAACCTCCTGGGATCAGGAGATCCTTCTGCCTTATCTTTCTGAGTAGCTAAGACCACAGGTACACACCACCATGCCCTCCTAATATTTTTATTTTTTGTAGAGATGTGGTCTGACTATGTTGCCTAGGCTGATCTCAAACTCCTGGGCTCAACCAGTCCTCTCACGTGGGCCTCTCAAATTGCTGGGATTACAGGCATGCATCACTGTGCCCAACCCTTTTTGACCTTTTTTTTAGCATATTTAGATATAGACCAGGCATTCTCATCAGATCAACTTATTTTTGAATAGTGTGTTAGTTCAGTTTTCCAGTAATATAATCAACATATTATCAGACAAATCATCTCTAAATTTAAAGCCATGGTTCAATTATTAATCTGGAAAAAAATTTAGTAAATATACTCAGGGTTTCCAAGATGTCTAGAAACATAGGAAAATAATGTGTTTATTGTATCTCTTTCAGATTAACAATTGGAACCACTGCTTTAAGTTTAAAGGTACTTTACCTCAAAAAGGTATTTGGAAGTTGAAAAAAATAGGTTGAACATAGTACTTGAAAATAAGTTTATCGTATGCTTTTTGGACTTCCTGTGAACAGCTTTGCAATCTACTTTCCCCTGGAGATGAAACTATGGACATCTTTCCATGTTGTTCCTAACCTGTTTCCAGCACTGTCTTAAAGCTATTGTGTCTGTGGTTCACGCTTCTTATAGCAGTGCCAGAGTGAATATCCTTGGAGTCAAATATTTGCACAAATCCCACATTATGTCGTTAGGTTGAAACCTTAGATGTGGAATTGCCAAGTCAAAGGAATGTATATTTTACGCCTTGTCTTACTATTGCAAATTGCCCTTTAGAAAGGTTATATCGACTCACCCTCCCACAAGCTGTGTATCACAAGTGTCTGTTTTCCTGTCTACTTGCCAATAGTGGATACTACCGGTTTTTTGTTTTTTAATCTGCCAATTTGTTGTTTATTTAATCTGCTTTGCCAGATAGATGCTTAATTCTTCCTTTTCTCCAACTCCAGCTCCTTCCTGCTGAGGCGGCCTCTGGCCTGTGGGTGGAGAACAAAGCCTGCTCAGTGTCTGAGATCTGAAAAGACAGGCTTCTCACTGAGTTGAGGGCTCTGGGGTGTGTGTGAGTGTGTGTGTGTGTGTGTGTGTGTGTGTGTGTGTGTGTGTGTGTGTGTGTGTGTCAGAGAGAGAGAGAGACTGACTGACTTCCTTTTGCCTTTATATGGACTCTTACAATGAGAGGAGCTGCTTCCTCCGTGGTCGGGTGTGTGGGCTCACCCAGGGCACACAGCAGGAGTACTGTGCCCATGCCTCCCCACCCCATGTGGCTTATGTGCCCTTTTCTGGCTGCCCCACTTGGCTTGGCTGTTCAGGGTGTCTCACCTCCTCTACTCTTCTTGCCCGCCATCTGCTTTCTTTGCTTTTTCTGTGTTTGTTTAAAGAAAGTGTGGTTGCAGGAGACAGCTGTCTTGGGTGGCCAGAACCCTGGGGTCACCCAGCTGGGTGGGATCCATAGAGCCAGGACCTGAGAAGGCAGACTTCACCCTATGACACAGACTGGGTGGGAGAGTGGGGTCACAGCAACCAGGGCACACCACACACCTTCACCCAGACCAGATCTGGCCCTACTAATGGGTGGCAGGAAAGCTTTGAGGAAGCCGTTAAATGAGACTGTGTGGGTCAAAACAACCAAGCTGGTCACCCGGGAATAGTGTTTTATTTCACTCACACTTAGGAAACCTTGCTTTGACCTGAACACTGGTGCCTTCACCAGGATGCAGTGAAAACTGTGCCCCTGCCCTGGTCTGGGCCACTTCACCAGATCTCTTCCCTGCCCTGGAAACCAAAGAAGGCACTGTGAATCCCCCTCTCGCCCTCAGGGGGGATTAAAAGGTCATATAGGACAGCACAGCAGATGAGAGCAGTTTTGTGAACTGACAGCTGTGGCCTGCACTCCTGGTTCTCACACTTGCCAGCTGTGAGGCCTTAGGAGTGTCACTTACCCCTCTGTGACCCTTAGTCTCCTCCTCTGTAAAAAGAATACCAGCATATCTAGCTTGATATGTAGAGGTTATGTAGGGAAAATACTTAGCACATGGATACCCCCAGTAGAAGGCAGAGAACATTTCACAAATGAGGTGTCATTCGAGTCTGACCTTGGGTTGGGTTTGATTTTCCAGGCAGGGAAGGGCCGATGGATATTCCATCCAGAGGGAAGGAGAGGTAAGAAAATAAGCAAGGTGTGTGGGGCACAGCCTGCAAGGTTTATCACGAGAGGACAGTCGGTGACCCCCGGTGAGACCATCTACTACAATTGTGAAGGCCTACTACTAACTAGGACAAAGGCAGGGTATGAGAGGTCTGTAAGCAGAGCAGTGCCGTGACCGGATCTGTGTTGAGAAAGATCTGGTGACAGTGTGGGGATGGGGACAGTTGCCATGGAGAGGAAGGGACCAGGTTAGGACAGGTTTGGTGACCAGTTGGACTTGAGAGGTCAGGTGGAAAGAAAGAGTAGCCATCTCTCTCATAATTTCAGACCAAGGGTGTTTGCCCTTAAGCACAGTGGGGAAGACAGGATTGATCGATGGACTGATTTTGAGTAAGAGTCTTACTCTGTCGCCCAGGCTAGAGTGCAGTGGCACAATCAAAGCTTACCACAGCCTCAACCTCCTGGGCTCAGGTGAGCCTCCCACCTCAGCCTCCTGAGTAGCTGGGACTACAGTCATGCATGACCACACCTGTCTAATTTTTTTTAATTTTTGTAGTTATGAAGTCTCATTATGTTGTCCAGGCTGGTCTTGAACTCCTGGGCTCAACCAGTCCTCCTACCTCAGCCTCCCAGAGTGCTGGGATTACAGGTGTGAGCCACCACGCCAGGCCAGGAAGTCAGGATGAGAAGTCTTTTGGGAAGAAGAGGAGTTTGGTGTTGGGCTTTCTTTTGAGTGTGTGGTGCCTACAGGAGACCAGGAGATAAGGCTGGGCTCCACTCACTCCCAGTCGCCCCCTCCTAGCAGAGGGAGGGTCCACAGAAGGAGGCTCCGTCTCTCTGAAGCTCTATGTACCACATCATTCTCCTCCCATGGCAGACTGGCTTTCTCAATATTTCCCTTCACGCTGTAGAATGTGGTTGCCTCCAGCCCTCCAAAGTCACATCTCAGAGACTTGTAGCCACAGACATGAGGGCTCAGCCACCTCTGATTCCTGGTTCCACATGTCTAGGGGAGAGAATCTGCCTGGCCCATCTCAAGTCACATGTCCACTTTCGTCAACTGTGGCCAGAGGCAGAGAGTTGACAAGAAAAGAATCTGCCTGGCCTAGCGTGGGCCACGTGTCTTCCAGGGGTCCAGACAGCTGAGTCTAGGGTGGAGATACAGGATGGCAGTTTGGGGTAAGGG